ACACTGCTGCATGACACTGCTCATGACACTGCTGACGACACTGCTGACGACACTGCTCATGACACTGCTCATGACACTGCCGATGACACTGCTCATGACACTGCTCATGACACTGCTGACGACACTGCTGATGACACTGCTGACGACACTGCTCATGACACTGCTCATGACACTGCTCATGACACTGCTGACGACACTGCCGACGACACTGCTCATGACACTGCTCATGACACTGCTCATGACACTGCTCATGACACTGCTGACGACACTGCTGATGACACTGCCGACGACACTGCTGACGACACTGCTGACGACACTGCTCATGACACTGCTGACGACACTGCTGACGACACTGCTCATGACACTGCTCATGACACTGCTCATGACACTGCTCATGACACTGCTCATGACACTGCTGATGACACTGCTGACGACACTGCTGACGACACTGCTCATGACACTGCTGATGACACTGCTGATGACACTGCTGATGACACTGCTCATGACACTGCTGATGACACTGCTGACGACACTGCCGATGACACTGCTCACGACACTGCTGATGACACTGCTGATGACACTGCTGACGACACTGCCGATGACACTGCTCATGACACTGCTCATGACACTGCTGACGACACTGCTGATGACACTGCTGACGACACTGCTCATGACACTGCTCATGACACTGCCGATGACACTGCTCATGACACTGCTCATGACACTGCTGACGACACTGCTGATGACACTGCTGACGACACTGCTCATGACACTGCTCATGACACTGCTCATGACACTGCTGATGACACTGCTGATGACACTGCTGATGACACTGCTCATGACACTGCTGATGACACTGCTGACGACACTGCCGATGACACTGCTCATGACACTGCTGATGACACTGCTGATGACACTGCTGACGACACTGCCGATGACACTGCTCATGACACTGCTCATGACACTGCTGATGACACTGCTGATGACACTGCTGACGACACTGCCGATGACACTGCTCATGACACTGCTGATGACACTGCTGATGACACTGCTGACGACACTGCCGATGACACTGCTGACGACACTGCTGATGACACTGCTGACGACACTGCTGACGACACTGCTGATGACACTGCTCATGACACTGCTGACGACACTGCTGATGACACTGCTGACGACACTGCTCATGACACTGCTGACGACACTGCTGATGACACTGCCGATGACACTGCCAATGACACTGCTGACGACACTGCTGATGACACTGCCGATGACACTGCCGATGACACTGCTCATGACACTGCTGATGACACTGCTGACGACACTGCCGATGACACTGCTCATGACACTGCTGATGACACTGCTGACGACACTGCTCATGACACTGCTGATGACACTGCTGACGACACTGCTGATGACACTGCTCATGACACTGCTGACGACACTGCTCATGACACTGCTCATGACGCCGCCGCCGCTCCGTACCCGTGCACCCCTCCCCCGTACGCCACCCCGCCGGGCCCCTCCCCCGCCCTGTGCCCCGTCTCCACGGCGACGCCGCAGCCGCCCCCTCCGGCCATCGTCGCGGCAACCGGAGGCTGCTGGGGAGCTGCCCCGGAGACGGTCGCCGTGGCGACGGTCGCCGCCGACGACGACGACGCAGCAGCAGCAGCAGCAGCAGCTGCTGACGAGACCGCCGAGGGCGAAGAGGCGAGCGGCGAGGGCTCCGACCCAAACTCCAGGGCACCGAACTGGAGGCTGAGCAGGGAGGAGGCGTCCACGGCACCGGGCATCTCCACTGCCAGAGACGGGATCTAGAGAGGGGTGGGTGGGTGGGTGGTGGGTGGGTGGTGGGGGGGTGGTGGTGGTGGTGGGGGGGGGGTGGGGTGGGGGGAGGTGACGCTCGCCACGTATGGAGAGACTCACCAACACACTCACCCACTCACCCACCCACTCACCCCCTCACCCACCCACTCACCCCCTCACCCACCCCCTCACCCACCCACTCACCCCCTCACCCACCCACTCACCCCCTCACCCACCCACTCACCCACCCACTCACTCACCGAACCACTCACCCCCCCACTCACCCCCTCACTCACCCACCCACCCCCTCACGCACCCACCCACCCACCGACTCACTCACCCACCCACTCACTCACCCACCCACCCACCCACTCACCCACCCACCCACTCACTCACCCCCTCACCCACCCACTCACCCCCTCACCCACCCACTCACCCCCTCACCCACCCACTCACCCCCTCACCCACCCACTCACCCCCTCACCCACCCACTCACCCCCTCACCCACCCACTCACCCCTCACCCACCCACTCACCCCCTCACCCACCCACTCACCCACTCACCCACCCACTCACCCCCTCACCCACCCACCCACCCACTCACCCACCCACTCACTCACTCACTCACCCACCCACTCACTCACTCACCCACCCACCCACCCACTCACCCACCCACCCACTCACTCACCCACCCACCCACTCACTCACCCACCCACCCACCCACCGAACCACTCACCCACCCACCCACTCACAAACCACCCACCCACTCACTCACCCACCCACTCACTCACTCACCCACTCACCCACTCACCCACCCACTCACCCACTCACTCACCCACCCACTCACCCCCTCACCCACCCACTCACCCCCTCACCCACCCACTCACCCCCTCACCCACCCCCTCACCCACCCACTCACCCCCTCACCCACCCACTCACCCCCTCACCCACCCACTCACCCACCCACTCACCCCCTCACCCACCCACTCACCCCCTCACCCACCCACTCACCCCCTCACCCACCCACTCACCCACCCACTCACCCCCTCACCCACCCACCCACCCCCTCACCCACCCACTCACCCCCTCACCCACCCACTCACCCACTCACCCACCCACTCACCCCCCCACCCACTCACCCACCCACTCACCCACCCACCCACCCCCTCACCCACCCACTCACCCCCTCACCCACCCACTCACTCCCTCACCCACCCACCCACTCACCCACCCACTCACCCCCTCACCCACCCACTCACCCACCCACTCACCCCCTCACCCACCCACTCACCCCCTCACCCACCCACTCACCCCCTCACCCACCCACTCACCCACTCACCCACCCACTCACCCACCCACTCACCCCCCCACCCACTCACCCACCCACTCACCCACCCACCCACCCCCTCACCCACCCACCCACCCCCTCACCCACCCACTCACCCCCTCACCCACCCACTCACCCCCTCACCCACCCACTCACCCCCTCACCCACCCACTCACCCCCTCACCCACCCACTCACCCCCTCACCCACCCACTCACCCCCTCACCCACCCACCCCCTCACCCACCCACCCACTCACCCACCCACCCACTCACCCACCCACCCACTCACCCACCCACCCACCACAGCCGCTCACCCACCCACTCACCCACTCACCCACCCACTCACCCACTCACTCACTCACCCACCCCCCCCACCCACCCACCCACTCACCCACCCCCTCACCCCCTCACCCACCCACTCACCCCCTCACCCACCCACTCACCCACTCACCCACCCACTCACCCCCCCACCCACTCACCCCCCCACCCACTCACCCCCCCACCCACTCACCCACCCACTCACCCACCCACCCACCCCCTCACCCACCCACTCACCCCCTCACCCACCCACTCACTCCCTCACCCACCCACCCACCCACTCACCCACCCACTCACCCACCCACTCACCCACCCACTCACCCACCCACCCACTCACCCACTCACCCACTCACCCACCCACTCACCCCCTCACCCACCCACTCACCCCCTCACCCACTCACCCACCCACTCACCCACCCACTCACCCACTCACCCACCCACCCACCCACCCACCCACCCCCTCACCCACCCACCCACTCACCCACCCACCCACCCACTCACCCACCCACTCACCCCCTCACCCACCCACTCACCCACTCACCCACCCACTCACCCCCCCACTCACCCCCTCACCCCCTCACCCACCCACTCACCCCCTCACCCACCCACCCACCCCCTCACCCACCCCCTCACCCACCCACCCCCTCACCCACCCACCCACTCACCCACCCACCCACCCACCACTGCCGCTCACCTTACTCTGCACCGGCATCCTCCTCCTCTGTGTCTTCATGCGCACCCCGGCTCCACCACCACCAACTCCACCACCGCCAACCCCGCCACCGCCGCCACCGGCCATCCCACCCATCCCGCCCATCATCAGGTGAGACTCCAACTCCTTGCAGCTGGTGCCGGACGCCGGCACCATGCCGCTCGCGGTGACGGCACCAGCAGCTGCCGGGGGGGAAAAAGCCAGAGGCAAAGGTCCCCCGGGTAGCCTCTAGCAGGGCTGTAGGGGCAAGTGCTGCTAGTGGCGAGTAGCACCACCTATGATGTACACACAGACAAAGCTCCCCCAGGTAGCTTCTAGCAGGACTGTAGGGGCAAGTGCTGTGTCTCATACATACAGGCAAAGGTCCCCCAGGTAGCTTCTAGCAGGGCTGTAGGGGCAAGTGCAGTGTCTCACACATACAGGCAAAGGTCCCCCGGGTAGCCTCTAGCAGGACTGTAGGGGCAAGTGCTGCTAGTGGCGAGTAGCACCACCTATGATGTACACACAGACAAAGCTCCCCCAGGTAGCCTCTAGCAGGGCTGTAGGGGCAAGTGCTGTTAGCGAGCACCACCTATGATGTACACACAGACAAAGCTCCCCCAGGTAGCCTCTAGCAGGGCTGTAGGGGCAAGTGCTGTTAGCGAGCACCACCTATGATGTACACACAGGCAAAGCTCCCCCAGGTAGCCTATGATGTACACACAAAGCTCCCCCAGGTAGCTTCTAGCAGGGCTGTAGGGGCAAGTGCTGTTAGCGAGCACCACCTATGATGTACACACAGACAAAGCTCCCCCAGGTAGTCTCTAGCAGGGCTGCAGGGGCAAGTGCTGTTAGCGAGCATCACCTATGATGTACACACAGACAAAACTCCCCCAGGTAGCTTCTAGCAGGGCTGTCGGGGCAAGTGCTGCTAGTGGCGAGTATCACCACCTATGATGTACACACAGGCAAAGCACCCCCCAGGTAGCCTCTAGCAGGGCTGTAGGGGAAATTGCTGCTAGTACCACCACCTATGATGTACACACAGACAAAGCTCCCCCAGGTAGCCTCTAGCAGGGCTGTAGGGGCAAGTGCTGTTAGCGAGCACCACCTATGATGTACACACAGACAAAGCTCCCCCAGGTAGCCTCTAGCAGGGCTGTAGGGGCAAGTGATGTTAGCGAGCACCACCTATGATGTACACACAGGCAAAGCTCCCCCAGGTAGCCTATGATGTACACACAAAGCTCCCCCAGGTAGCTTCTAGCAGGGCTGTAGGGGCAAGTGCTGTTAGCGAGCACCACCTATGATGTACACACAGACAAAGCTCCCCCAGGTAGCCTCTAGCAGGGCTGCAGGGGCAAGTGCTGTTAGCGAGCATCACCTATGATGTACACACAGACAAAACTCCCCCAGGTAGCCTCTAGCAGGGCTGCAGGGGCAAGTGCTGTTAGCGAGCACCTATGAAGGCAGGCACGGCACACGAGGGGGTGGGTGGCCAGCACCACGCCCGGCCGCCTTTGTCTCCCCAGTGCAAGCGATGTTTACTCCACCACCGCTACACCAGGTACTCATTTGAGGCTGAGTCGACCTAGGGGAGGCCCAGGACCGGTTCAGATAATAATCGTCGCCGGTGTTGGCCGTGAAGGGGAATCCAACCCGTATTGCCGGGTTCGTAGCGCTAACCACTACACCACCGCTCACCACACACAAAGACAAAGATCCCCCGTATAGCCTCAACAAATTCGAGCAGGGAGTGTTGTTAAGCGAACACCTGTGAAGGCACACACGCAGACACACGCAGAATGACATGCGCACACACACCAACACACTGACACACGCAAAACGACACACAGACACATGCACACACACTCACCAGATGACACACACAGACTGACAAAGACACAGAGACACACTCACAAACGACACACACAGACTGACACAGACACAGAGACACACTCACACACTCACAAAACGACACACACAGACTGACACAGACACAGAGACACACACACACTCTCACCAAATGACACACACAGAATGACACAGACACAGAGACACACACTCACAAATGACACACAGACTGACACAGACACACACACACACACTCACAAACGACACACACAGACTGACACAGACACACAGACACACACTCACCACACGACACACACAGACTGACACAGACACAGAGACACTCACACACTCACCAAATGACACACACAGACTGACACAGAGACACACACTCACACACTCACAAACGACACACACAGACTGACACAGACACACACGCACACACTCACCACACAACACACACAGACTGACACAGACACAGAGACACTCACACACTCACCAAACGACGCACACAGACTGACACAGACACAGACTCACACACTCACCAAATGACACACACAGACTGACACAGACACAGACACACACACTCACAAACGACACACACAGACTGACACAGACACACAGACACACACTCACAAACGACACACACAGACCGACACAGACACAGAGACAGACTCACACACTCACCAAACGACACACACAGACTGACACAGAGACACACTCACACACTCACAAACGACACACACAGACTGACACAGAGACACACTCACACACTCACAAACGACACACACAGACTGACACACACACACGCACACACTCACAAACGACACACACAGACTGACACAGACACACACTCACAAACGACACACACAGACTGACACAGACACACAGACACACTCACACACTCACCAAACGACACACACAGACTGACACAGACACACACACTCAAACTGACACAGACACACACACACTCAAACTGACACACACACAGACACACTCACACACTCACCAAACGAAGTGACTGCTGAGGAAGAGACGGGAGCCAAACCAATGGATCCAGCCCAGGGGGTAGAACTCTGTTGAAGACATCACCACCATCATTACCATCACCAACATCACCAACATCACCACCACCATTACCATCATTATCACCACCACCACCATTATCATCATTATCACCACCATCACCATTCATCACCAACATCACCAACATCACCAACATCCCCAACATCCCCAACATCACCACCATCATTACCATCACCACCATCATTACAATCACCACCACCACTATCATCATTATCATCACCATCATTACCATCACCACCACCACCACCATTATCATCATTATCACCACCATCACCACCAACATCACCAACATCACCACTACCATCACCAACATCACCACTAACATCACCATCATTACCATCACCACCATTATCATCATTATCACCACCATCATAACCACCATCACCAACATCACCACTAACATCACCATCATAATTATCACCATTATCATCATTATCACCACCATCACCATTCATCACCAACATCACCAACATCCCCAACATCACCACCACCATTACCATCACCACCATCATTACAATCACCACCACCACTATCATCATTATCATCACCATCATTACCATCACCACCACCACCACCACCATTATCATCATTATCACCACCATCACCACCAACATCACCAACATCACCACTAACATCACCATCATCATTATCACCATTATCATCATTATCACCACCATCACCATCACCAACATCACCAACATCCCCAACATCATTACCATCACCACCATCATTACAATCACCACCACCACTATCATCATTATCATCACCATCATTACCATCACCACCATTATCATTATCACCACCATCACCACCAACATCACCAACATCACCACTAACATCACCATCATAATTATCACCATTATCATCATTATCACCACCATCACCATTCATCACCAACATCACCAGCATCCCCAACATCACCACCATCATTACCATCACCACCATCATTACAATCACCACCACCAACATCACCAACATCACCACCATCATTACCATCACCACCACCACCTTTATCATCATTATCACCACCATCACCACCAACATCACCAACATCACCACTAACATCACCATCATCATTATCACCATTATCATCATTCTCACCACCATCATTACCATCACCACCACCACCACCACCACCATTATTATCACCACCATCACCACCATCATTACCATCACCATTCACAACCACCATCACCACCATCACCAACATCACCATCATAACCACCATCACCACCATCACCAACATCACCACCATCACCACTAACATCACCACTAACATCACCATCATTACCACCATCACCACCACCACCACCATCACCACCAACATCACCAACATCACCACTAACATCACCATCATCATTATCACCATTATCACCACCATCACCACCATCATTACCATCACCATTCACAACCACCATCACCACCATCACCAACATCACCATCATAACCACCATCACCACCATCACCAACATCACCAACATCACCACCATCACCACCATCACCACTAACATCACCATCATTACCACCATCACCACCACCACCACCATTACCATCATTATCACCACCATCACCATTCATCACCAACATCACCAACATCACCACCATCATTACCATTACAACCACCATTACCATCATTATCACCACCATCACCATTCATCACCAACATCACCAACATCATTACCACCACCATTATCATCATTATCACCACCATCACCACCAACATCACCACCATCACCACCAACATCACAAACATCACCAACATCACCACCATCACCACTAACATCACCATCATCACCACCATCATCATTATCACCACAATCACCAACATCAGCACCATCATCACCATCACCACCAAAATCACCATAAATACAAATAGCATCATTCAGCTGCTGCTCCTGCTCCCACTAATGCTACTAGGATTGTGGCCCCTCGCTCGCCACGCCCCTCGCTCGCCACGCCCCTCGCTCGCCACGCCCCTCGCTCGCCACGCCCCTCGCTCGCCACGCCCCTCACTCGACACGCCCCTCGCTCGACACGCCCCTCACTCGACACGCCCCTCGCTCGACACGCCCCTCACTCGACACGCCCCTCACTCGACACACCCCTCACTCGCCACGCCCCTCACTCGACACGCCCCTCACTCGACACGCCCCTCGCTCGACACGCCCCTCACTCGACACGCCCCTCACTCGACACGCCCCTCACTCGACACACCCCTCACTCGCCACGCCCCTCACTCGACACGCCCCTCACTCGACACGCCCCTCGCTCGCCACGCCCCTCACTCGCCACGCCCCTCACTCGCCACGCCCCTCACTCGACACGCCCCTCACTCGCCACGCCCCTCACTCGACACGCCCCTCGCTCGACACGCCCCTCGCTCGCCACGCCCCTCACTCGCCACGCCCCTCACTCGCCCTTCCCCTCGCTCGCCACGCCCCTCGCTCGCCACGCCCCTCACTCGACACGCCCCTCGCTCGACACGCCCCTCGCTCGACACGCCCCTCACTCGCCACGCCCCTCACTCGCCACGCCCCTCACTCGACACGCCCCTCACTCGACACGCCCCTCACTCGACACGCCCCTCGCTCGACACGCCCCTCGCTCGCCACGCCCCTCGCTCGCCACGCCCCTCGCTCGCCACGCCCCTCGCTCGCCACGCCCCTCACTCGCCACGCCCCTCACTCGCCACGCCCCTCACTCGCCACGCCCCTCACTCGCCACGCCCCTCACTCGCCACGCCCCTCACTCGCCACGCCCTCGCTCGCCACGCCCCTCACTCGCCACGCCCCTCACTCGACACGCCCCTCACTCGCCACGCCCCTCGCTCGCCACGCCCCTCGCTCGCCTTGCCGCTCACTCACCACGCCCCTCACCCGCCACGCCCCTCACCCGCCCTTCCCCTCACTCGCCACGCCCCCTCACTCGCCCTTCCCCCTCACTCGCCCTTCCCCTCACTCGCCACGCCCCTCGCTCGCCACGCCCCTCGCTCGCCTTGCCGCTCACTCACCACGCCCCTCACCCGCCACGCCCCTCACCCGCCCTTCCCCTCACTCGCCACGCCCCCTCACTCGCCCTTCCCCTCACTCGCCCTTCCCCTCACTCGCCACGCCCCTCGCTCGCCACGCCCCTCGCTCGCCTTGCCGCTCACTCACCACGCCCCTCACCCGCCACGCCCCTCACCCGCCCTTCCCCTCACTCGCCACGCCCCCTCACTCGCCCTTCCCCTCACTCGCCACGCCCCTCACTCGCCCTTCCCCTCACTCGCCACGCCCCTCACTCGCCTTGCCGCTCACTCGCCACGCCCCTCACTCGCCACGCCCCTCACTCGACACGCCCCTCACTCACCCTTCCCCTCACTCGCCACGCCCCTCACTCGCCACGCCCCTCACTCGCCACGCCCCTCACTCACCCTTCCCCTCACTCGCCACGCCCCTCACTCGCCAGGCCCCTCACTCACCAGACTGCGGGTCCCATTGCCCTGCTGCTGCTGCTTGTGCTGCTGCTGCTGCGAGCTCTGGGCCATGAGCTGCTCCAGGAAGAGGGAGGCGCTTGTCGACTTGGCCTGGGACTCCAGCAGAGCCGCCGTCGTCGACACGGGCGAGGGGGCCACCTGGGTGAGTGGGGTGGGGGGGTGAGTGGGGGGGTGAGTGAGTGGGGTGAGTGGGTGGGTGGGTGGGTGAGTGGGTGGGTGGGTGAGTGGGTGGGTGGGTGAGTGTGGTAGTGAGGGTGAGTGAGTGGGTGAGGGGGTGGGTGGGTGATTAGGTGGGTAGATGAGTTAGTGAATGGGTAAGTGAGTGGAGGAGTGAGTGGGTGAGTGAGTGGGTGGGTGAGTGGGTGGGTGAGTGAGTGGGTGGGTGGGTGAGTGGGTGGGTGGGTGAGTGGGTGGGTGGGTGAGTGGGTGGGTGGGTGAGTGGGTGGGTGGGTAAGTGGGTGAGCGAGTGGGTCAGTGAGTGAGTGGGTGGGTGAGTAGGTGGGTGGGTGAGTAGGTGGGTGGGTGAGTGAGTGAGTGGGCGAGTGAGTGGGTGAGTGAGTGGGTGAGTGAGTGGTGAGTGTGACCATGGTGGTGAAGCCTTGTAAGCCGTGAGTGGTTGAGTGAGCGTGAGTGGTGAGCTCACACTCACCTCACACTCACGGCTCTTGATGTTGCACAGAGTGAGCGCGAGTGGTGAGCTCACACTCACTGAGTGGGTGGGTGGGTGAGTGGATGAGTGAGTGAGTGGATGAGTGAGTCGGTGATTAGGTGGGTGGATGAGTGGGTAAGTGAGTGGAGGAGTGAGTGGATGAGTGAGTGGGTGAGTGGGTGAGTGGGTGGGTGGATGAGTGAGTGAGTGAGTGGGTGGGTGAGTGAGTGGGTGAGTGGGTGAGTGAGTGGGTGGGTGAGTGAGTGAGTGAGTGGGTGAGTGAGTCGGTGATTAGGTGGGTGGATGAGTGGAGGAGTGAGTGGATGAGTGAGTGGGTGAGTGGGTGAGTGTGTGAGTGGGTGGGTGGATGAGTGAGTGAGTGGGTGGGTGAGTGAGTGGGTGGGTGAGTAAATGAGTGGGTGAGTGAGTGGGTGAGTGAGTGGGTGAGTGGGTGAGTGACTGAGTGAGTGGGTGAGTAAATGAGTGGGTGAGTGAGTGGGTGGGTGAGTGGGTGAGTGAGTGGATGAGTGGTGAGCAGCACTCACTGAGTGGGTGAGTGGGTGGGTGAGTGGGTGAGTGAGTGAGTGAGTGGGTGGGTGAGTGGGTGAGTGGGTGAGTGGGTGGGTGAGTGGGTGAGTGCGTGACTGGGTGAGTGAGTGAGTGGGTGAGTAAATGAGTGGGTGAGTGAGTGGTGAGTGAGTGGTGAGTATGACCATGGTGGTGGAGCCTTGTAAGCCGTGAGTGGTTGAGTGAGCGTGAGTGGTGAGCTCACACCCACCTCACACTCACCTCACACTCACGGCTCTTGATGTTGCACAGAGAATTTCCCCCCTGATGGTGACACTGGTGAGCCACACAGGGTCTACAAGTGTGCACCTCACCGGGTGAGCGAGCGTGGTGAGTGTGAATGGGTGAGAGACTGAGTGGTTGAAAGGGCGAGCGAGTGGTTAAGTGAGTGGTCGAGTGAGCGACTGGTCGAGTGAGTGGTCGAGTGAGCGAGTGAGTGGTCGAGTGAGTGGTCAAGTGAGTGAGTGGTCAAGTGAGTGAGCGAGTGGTCGATTGAGTAGGTGAACGAGCAATTGAGTGTGTGAGTAGTTGAGTATGTGAGTGAATGAATAGGTGAGCTTGAGTGAGTAGGTGAGTGGGTGTGTGAGTGAGTAGTTTAGTGTGTGAGTGATTAATGTGTGAGTGAGTAGGTGCGTGCGTGAGTAGGTGTGTGTGTGAGTAGATGAGTGTGAGTGAATGTGTGAGTGAGTAGTTGAGTGTGCGAGTGTGTAGGTGAGTGTGTGTGAGCGAGTAGGTCAGTGTGTGTGTGAGGTGAGTGTGAGTGAATGTATGTGCGAGTAGGCGAGTGTATGAGCGAGTAGGCATGTGTGTGTGAGTAGGTGAGTGTGTGAGTAAATTAGGTGAGCGAGTAGGTGGGTGAGTGAGCAGGTGAGTGTGTGTGAGTGAGTAGGTTAGCAGGTGAGTGAGTAGTTGAGTGTGTGAATAGTTGAGTGTGTGAGAGATTAGTGTGTGAGTGAGTAGGTGGGTGAGTAGGTGAGTGTGTGTGTGAGTGTGTGTGTGAGCGAGTAGGCGAGTGTATGTGTGAGTAGCTGAGTGTGTGAGTGAGTAGCTAAATGCATGAGTGAGTAGCTAAACGTGTGAGTGAGTGCGTGAGCGAGTAGGTGAATGTGTGAGCGAGTAGGTGAGTGTGTGAGTGTGTAGGTGAGTGTGTGAGTGTGTAGGTAGTGTGTGTGAGCGAGTAGGCGAGTGTATGTGTGAGTAGCTGAGTGTGTGAGTGTGTGAGTGAGTGAGTAGCTAAACTTGTGAGCGAGTAGCTTAACGTGTGAGTGAGTGCGTGAGCGAGTAGGTGAATGTGTAAGCGAGTAGTTTAGTGTGTGAGTGAATAGGTGAGTGTGTAGGTGAGTAGCTGAGTGTGTGAGTGAGCGAGTGAGGGAGTAGCTAAACGTGTGAGTGAGCGAGTAGGTGAAAGTGTGAGCGTGTAGGTGAGTGTGCGAGTGTGTAGGTGAGTGTGTGTGTGAGCGAGTAGGCGAGTGTATGTGTGAGTAGCTGAGTGTGTGAGTGAGTGTGTGAGTGAGTAGCTAAACGTGTGAGTGAGTAGCTAAACGTGTGAATGAGTGCGTGAGCGAGTAGGTGAATGTGTGAGCGAGTAGGTGAGTGTGTGAGCGAGTAGGCGAGTGTACGTGTGAGTAGGTGAGTGTGTGAGTAGGTGAGTGTGTGAGTGTGTGAGCAAGTGAGTAGCTAAACGCGTGAGTGAATGGGTGAGCGAGTAGGCGAGTGTGTGTGTGTAGGTGAGTGAGTGTGTGAGCGAGTAGGCGAGTGTATGTGTGAGTAGCTAAGTGTGTGAGCGTGTAGGTGAGTGTGCGAGCGTGTAGGTGAGTGTGTGAGTGTGTAGGCGAGTGTGTGAGTGTGTAGGTGAGTGTGTGTGTGTGAGTAGGCGAGTGTGTGAGTGTGTAGGTGAGTGAGTGTGTGAGTGAGTAGGCGAGTTTATGTGTGAGTAGCTGAGTGTGTGAGTGAGCGAGCGAGTAAGTAGCTAAATGCGTGAGTGAGTGAGTAGCTAAACGTGTGAGTGCGTGAGCGAGGAGGTGAGTGTGTGTGTGAGTGTGTAGGCGAGTGTGAGTGAGCGAGCGAGTAGGTGAGTGTACGTGTGAGTAGCTGAGTGTGTAGGTGAGTGAGTGAGCGAGTGTGTAGGTGAGTGTGTGTGTGAGTAGGCGAGCGTGTAGGTGAGTGAGTGTGTGAGCGAGTAGGCGAGTGTATGTGTGAGTAGCTGAGTGTGTGAGTGTGTAGGTGAGTGTGCGAGCGTGTAGGTGTGTGTGTGAGTAGGTGAGTGTGTGAGTGAGTGTGTGAGTGTGTAGGTGAGTGTGTGTGCGAGTGTGTGAGTGTGTAGGTGAGTGTGTGAGCGAGCAAGTAGGCGAGTGTATGTGTGAGTAGCTGAGTGTGTGAGTGAGTGAGTGAGCGAGTAGGCGAGTGTACGTGTGAGTAGCTGAGTGTGTGAGTGTGTGAGTGAGTGTGCGAGTGTGTAGGTGAGTGTGTGAGCGAGCGAGTAGGCGAGTGTATGTGTGAGTAGCTGAGTGTGTGAGTGAGTGAGTGAGCGAGTAGGCGAGTGTACGTGCGAGTAGCTGAGTGTGTGAGTGAGCGAGCGAGCGAGTAGCTAAACGTGCGAGCGAGTGCGTGAGCGAGTAGGCGAGCGTGTGAGTCGACCCACCACCACCCCCCCACCACCACCACCCCCCCCCACCACCCCCCCACCACCCACCACCACCACCACCCCCCCACCACGTACCCCCTTCCCGTAGCATGCCGGCGGGGGTCCGCCCCGCGCCCCCTCCGCCTGCAGCGAGTTGCTGAAGACGAGCGAGTGGGCCAGCGTGGGCGGGGCCGGGGCGCCGCTGGGCGGCAGGAACGGGGGGTGGAGTGGGGGGGGCCGCCCCCCCCTCCACCGCCCCTTCGTGGGGGGGGAGGAGCCCCCCCCCCACGACGCCGGAGGGTCCCCGCGGTGCCCCCCCGGGGGGGGCCGTGACGAGCCCCGCCGACGGCGCCGGCTTCCTCAGGAGCGCGGCGATGTCAATGCTGGGGGCGGGGCGATAGGGGGGCGGGGCGATAGGGGGGCGGGGCGATAGGGGGTGGGGCGATAGGGGGTGGGGCGATAGGGGGGCAGGGCGATAGGGGGGTGGGGCGATAGGGGGCGGGGCGAAGGAGGACAACTTGGTACACTCAACTCACTCCTCCTATCACTCCTCCGGCCTCCCCGCCGTGTCTCTCTCCCCGTGTCTCTCTTTCCCCATGTCTCTCTCCCCCCGTGTCTCTCTCCCCCCGTGTCTCTCTCCCCGTGTCTCTCTCCCCGTGTCTCTCTCCCCGTGTCTCTCTCCCCGTGTCTCTCTCCCCGTGTCTCTCTCCCCGCGTCTCTGCCCGCGTCTCTCCCCCATGTCTCCCCCCCGTGTCTCCCTCCTCCTCCCGTGTCTCTCCCCCGTGTCTCTCCCCCGTGTCTCCCCCCCGTGTCTCTCCCCGTGTCTCTCTCCCCGTGTCTCTCCCCCGTGTCTCTCCCCCGTGTCTCCCCCCCGTGTCTCTCCCCGTGTCTCTCTCCCCGTGTCTCTCCCCCGTTTCTCTCCCCGCGTCTCTCCCCCCGTGTCTCTCTCCCCCCGTGTCTCTCCCCCGTGTCTCCCCCCCGTGTCTCTCCCCGTGTCTCTCTCCCCGTGTCTCTCCCCCGTTTCTCTCCCCGCGTCTCTCCCCCCGTGTCTCTCTCCCCCCGTGTCTCTCCCCCGTGTCTCTCCCCGTGTCTCTCCCCGTGTCTCCCACCGTGTCTCTCCCCGTGTCTCTCCCCGTGTCTCTCCCCGTGTCTCTCCCCGTGTCTCTCTCCCCGTGTCTCTCTCCCCGTGTCTCTCCCCGTGTCTCTCCCCCGTGTCTCTCTCCCCGTGTCTCTCCCCCCCCAACCAGCCCCTCCCCGTGCGTCTCTCACGATTGTCCAGGCAGGAGCTGTGCGCTGGGCAGAGTCACGGATCCAGCGCTGGACGCGGTGAAGACCTTCGTCTCTATGATCTGGGACACGCGGGGACACGGGGAGGGGGAGACACGGGGGGGGAGACACGGGGGGAGACGCAAGGGGAGACGCGGGGGGAGACGTGGGGGGAGACACGGGGGGAGACGTGGGGGGAGACGCGGGGGGAGACGCGGGGGGGAGACACGGGGGGAGACACGGGGGGGAGACACGGGGGGAGACACGGGGGGAGACACGGGGGGGAGACACGGGGGGAGACACGGGGGGGAGACACGGGGGGAGACCCGGGGGGAGACACGGGGGGGGCGACGTGGGGGAGACACGGGGGGAGACACGGGGGGGAGACACGGGGGGAGACACGGGGGGGAGACACGGGGGGGAGACACGGGGGGAGACACGGGGGGAGACACGGGGGGGGGACACGGGGGGGAGACACGGGGGGAGACACGGGGGGGAGACACGGGGGGAGACACGGGGGGAGACACGGGGGGGAGACACGGGGGGGAGACACGGGGGGGGGGGGGGGGGACACGGGGGGGAGAGACACGGGGGGGAGACACGGGGGGGAGACACAGGGGGGAGACGTGTGAGTGACTGCGCGAGTGATAGGTTACATGATGAAGTGGTGGTGATGAGGTGGTGGTGATGAGGTGATGGTGATGAGGTGGTGGTGACGAGGTGATGGTGTAACGATGACGAGTTGATGGCATGACTGGGTGATGGGTTAAGTGATGGTGATGGAGTGGCGGTGGTGATGTGGTGGTGGTGATGAGGTGGTGGTGGTGATGAGGTGGTGGTGGTGGTGATGAGGTGGTGGTGATGAGGTGGTGGTGGTGATGAGGTGGTGGTGACGAGGTTGTGGGGGTCTCACATCATCATTCCAGTCATCTACACCCCAGTCTTCGACTGCACGCCACGAACCTGGAACATCACCAACAGCGTTAACATCACCATCGTCACACCATCGTCACCATGATCATCACCATCATCGTCACAATCATCACCATCATCATCACCACCATCGTCACAATCATCATCATCACCACCATCATCACCATCATCACCATCATCGTCATCATCATCACAATCGTCACCATCGTCACCATCATCGTCACCATCGTCATCATCGTCACCATCATCGTCACCATCGTCATCATCGTCACCATCATCGTCACCATCATCATCGTCATCACCATCGTCACCATCGTCATCATCGTCATCATCGTCATCATCGTCACCATCATCATCGTCATCACCATCGTCACAATAGTCACCATTCTCACCGTCACCATCGTCACCATCGTCACCATCATCATCATCGTCACCATCGTCAGCATCGTCACCATCGTCACAATCATCGTCACAATCATCGTCACAATCATCGTCACAACCATCGTCACAACCATCGTCACAACCATCTGTGGCTCACCGTTGTCCGGGGCTGGCGTGTCCCCGAGTGGGGGGCTGGCCCCCCACTCGTCTGCAACCTTCGCAGAATCCACGTGGCTCCCGTCCACGTCCATTGGGACACTGGCGAGAGGAGACGCACAGACACACAAAGACAAAGCTCCCCCGTGTAGCCTCTAGCGAGAAGCACACGAGGGGGCGGGTGGCCATCACCACGCCCGGCCGCCTTTGTCTCTCCTCCAGTGCTAGTGATGATGACTGCACCACCGCTACACCAGGAACTCATTTTAGGCTGAGTCGACCTAGGGGAGGCCCAGGACCGGTTCAGAGAATCGTCACCGGCGGCGTTGGCCGTGAGCGGGAATCGAACCCGGGTCGCCGGGTTCGTAGCGCAGCGCTAACCACAGCACCACCGCTCCGCACACACACACACTCAGACACTCAGACACACACACACCAAGACACTCAGACACACACACACCAAGACACTCAGACACACACACACACACTCAGACACATACACACACACCGAGACACTCAGACACACACACACACACCAAGACACTCAGACACACACACACACACCAAGACACTCAGACACACACACTCAGACAGACAGACACACACACTAAGACACACTCAGACACACACACACCAAGACACTCAGACACACACACACCAAGACACTCAGACACACACCAAAACTCTCAGACACACTCAGACACTCAGACACACACACACACCAAGACAGTCAGACACACACACACACACACCAAGACACTCAGACACACACCAAGACACTCAGACACACACCAAGACACTCAGACACACACACTAAGACACATTCAGACACACACACACCAAGACACTCAGACACACACCAAGACACTCAGACACACACCAAGACACTCAGACACACACTAAGACACACTCAGACACACTCACACCAAGACACTCAGACACACTCACACCAAGACACTCAGACACACTCACACCAAGACACTCAGACACACACCAAGACACTCAGACACACACACTCAGACAGACAGACACACACTCAGACACACACACTCAGACAGACAGACACACACTCAGAAACACACTCAGACACACACACACCAAGACACTCAGACACACACCAAGACACTCAGCCACGTACACACCAAGACACTCAGACACACACACTAAGACACTCGGACACACACACCAAGACACTCAGACACACACTAACACACTGAGACACACACACCAAGACACTCAGACACACTCACACCAAGACACTCAGCCACATACACACCAAGACACTCAGACACACACACACTAAGACACTCAGACACACACACCAAGACACTCAGACACACACACTAAGACACTCAGACACACACTAAGACACTCAGACACACACACTAAGACAGACAGACACACACACAGACACACACTCAAGACACACTCACACTCAGACAGACACACACTCAGACACACAGACACACACACACACTCAGACAGAAAGACACACTAAGACAGACACACACACAGACACACACTCAGACACACTCACACTCAGACAGACAGACACACACACAGACACACACTCAAACACACTCACACTCAGACAGACAGACACACACTCAGACACACACACAGACACACTCACACTCAGACAGACACACAGACACACACAGACACACACACACTCAGACACACACACACTCAGACACACAGACACACTCACACTCAGACAGACAGACACACACTCAGACACACAGACACACACTCAGACACACTCAGACAGACACACGCACAGACACACACTCCACGAGTGTGTCTCCAGGTGAGTACCAAGCGAGTCACTCACCTGCCGCTAGGCATCACGTAACGCCCTCGCCCTCTGCCACGCGTGCCGACAAAGCCTGCCGCACAAACAAGAGGACCACCCTTCACGTCACCGTCACATCTGTATAGACTCAGCACACACACAGACCCGTAGACTCAGCACACACAGAGACCCATAGACTCAGCACACACAGAGACCCATAGACTCAGCACACACAGAGACCCACAGACTCACCACACACAGAGACCCACAGACTCACCACACACAGAGACCCACAGACTCACCACACACACAGAGACCCACAGACTCAGCACACACAGAGACCCATAGACTCAGCACACACAGAGACCCACAGACTAATCACACACAGAGACTCACCACCACACAGAGACCCACAGACTCAGCACACACAGAGACCCATAGACTCAGCACACACAGAGACCCATACACTCACCACAGAGACCCATAGACTCAGCACACACAGAGACCCATACACTCACCACAGAGACCCATAGACTCAGCACACACAGAGACCCATAGACTCATCACCACACAGAGACCCATAGACTCAGCACACAGAGACCCAGAGACTCATTACACACAGACCCATAGACTCAGCACACACAGAGACCCATAGACTCAGCAGACACAGAGACCCATAGACTCAGCACACACACAGAGTAATAGACTCATCACCACACAGAGACCCATACACTCACCACAGAGACCCATAGACTCAGCACACACAGACACATAGACTCAGCACACACACAGAGTAATAGACTCAGCACACACAGAGACCCATAGACTCATCACCACACAGAGACCCATAGACTCATTACACTCAGACCCATAGACTCATCACCACACAGAGACCCATAGACTCAGCACACACAGAGACCCATAGACTCAGCACACACAGAGACCCATAGACTCAGCACACACAGAGACCCATACACTCAGCACACACACAGAGTAATAGACTCATCACCACACAGAGACCCATACACTCAGCACACACAGAGACCCATACACTCAGCACACACAGAGACCCATAGACTCAGCATACACAGAGACCCATAGACTCATCACCACACAGAGACCCATAGACTCATCACACACAGAGACCCATAGACTCAGCACACACAGAGACCCATACACTCAGCACACACAGAGACCCATACACTCAGCACACACAGAGACCCATAGACTCAGCACACACAGAGACCCATAGACTCAGCACACACAGAGACCCATAGACTCAGCACACACAGAGACCCATAGACTCAGCACACACAGAGACCCATAGACTCAGCACACACAGAGACCCATAGACTCAGCACACACAGAGACCCATAGACTCACCACACACACAGAGTAATAGACTCATCACCACACAGAGACCCACAGACTCAGCACACACAGAGACCCACAGACTCAGCACACACAGAGACCCATAGACTCAGCACACACAGAGACCCATAGACTCAGCACACACAGAGACCCATAGACTCAGCACACACAGAGACCCATAGACTCAGCACACACAGAGACCCATAGACTCAGCACACACAGAGACCCATAGACTCAGCACACACAGAGACCCATAGACTCAGCACACACAGAGACCCATAGACTCAGCACACACACAGAGTAATAGACTCATCACCACACAGAGACCCACAGACTCAGCACACACAGAGACCCACAGACTCAGCACACACAGAGACCCATAGACTCATCACACACAGAGACCCATAGACTCACCACACACAGAGACCCATAGACTCACCACACACACAGAGTAATAGACTCATCACCACACAGAGACCCATAGACTCAGCACACACACAGAGTAATAGACTCATCACCACACAGAGACCCATAGACTCAGCACACACAGAGACTCACCACCACACAGAGACCCATAGACTCAGCACACACAGAGACCCATAGACTCAGGACACACAGAGACCCATAGACTCAGCACACACAGAGACCCACAGACTCATCACCACACAGAGACCCATAGACTCAGCACACACGGAGACTCACCACCACACAGAGACCCATAGACTCAGCACACACAGAGACCCATAGACTCAGCACACACAGAGACCCATAGACTCACCACACAGACCCACAGACTCATCACACACAGAGACCCATAGACTCACCACAGAGACCCACAGACTCATCACACACAGAGACCCACAGACTCACCACACAGAGACCCACAGACTCATCACACACAGAGACCCACAGACTCACCACACAGAGACCCACAGACTCACCACACAGAGACCCACAGACTCACCACACAGAGACCCACAGACTCACCACACAGAGACCCACAGACTCATCACACACAGAGACCCACAGACTCACCACACAGAGACCCACAGACTCAACACACAGAGACCCATGATTCTTACCACACAGAGACCCACAGACTCATCACACAGAGACCCATAATTCTTACCACACAGAGACCCACAGACTCACCACACAGAGACCCATAGACTCATCACACACAGAGACCCATAGACTCATCACACACAGAGACCCACAGACTCACCACACAGAGACCCACAGACTCACCACACAGAGACCCACAGACTCATCACACACAGAGACCCATAGGCTCATCACACAGAGACCCATAGACTCATCACACAGAGACCCACAGACTCACCACACAGAGACCCACAGACTCACCACACAGAAACCCATAGACTCACCACACAGAGACCCACAGACTCACCACACAGAGACCCACAGACTCACCACACAGAGACCCACAGACTCACTACACAGAGACCCACAGACTCACCACACAGAGACCCATAGACTCACCGCACAGAGACCCACAGACTCACCACACAGAGACCCACAGACTCACCACACAGAGACCCATAGACTCATCACACAGAGACCCACAGACTGATCACACATAGAGACCCATAGACTCACCGCACAGAGACCCACAGACTCACCACACAGAGACCCACAGACTCACCACACAGAGACCCATAGACTCATCACACAGAGACCCACAGACTCATCACACACAGAGACCCATAATTCTTACCACGTCCCCTCCCCCGCCTCCCCCTATCGGCCCCTCCCCTCCCGGAGGCGTCCACTCCATTCTCCTGCACCCGGCCTGATGATGACAACATCATCATCAGCATCATCATCAGCATCATCAGCAGTAACAGCAGTATCATCATTATCAGCAGCAGCATCATCATCAGCAGAAGCAGCAGCAGCAGTAACAGCAGTATCATCATTATCAGCAGCAGCATCATCAGCATCATCATCAGCAGTAGCAGCAGTATCATCATTATCAGCAGTATCATTATTATCAGCAGTAGCATCAATAGCATCAGCAGCAGCAGTATCATCATCAGCAGTATCATCATTAGCAGGGGCAGCAGTATCACCAGCAGCATCAGTAGCGTCATCAGCAGCCGCAGTATCATCAGCAGCAGCGGCATCAGCAACACTGGAAAAAGTGACATCACCATCACTACCACCATCAACACCACCATCGCCATCACCACCACCATCACCACCACCAAGACTACCACCATCACCACGACTACCATCACCAAACTCACCACCCTCACCACACCACCACCATCACTACAATCACTACCACGATCGTCACCACCATCACCACCACCATCCACCACCACCACCGTCACCACCACCACCACCGCAACCATCACTACCACCACCGTCACCACCACCACCGTCGTCACCACCACCATCACCACCACCACCACCGTCGTCACCACCACCACCACCGTCACCACCACCACCGTCGTCACCACCACCATCACCACCACCACCATCCACCACCACCACCACCGTCGTCACCACCACCACCGTAACCACCACCACCACCGTAACCATCACCACCACCACCGCACCACCACCACCACCGTCACCACCACCGTCACCACCACCACCGTCGTCACCACCACCATCCACCACCACCACCGTCGTCACCACCATCACCACCATCACCACCACCGTCACCAAACTCACCAACTTCACCACACCACCACCACCCTCACCACATCACCACCACCACCCTCACCACCACCCTCACCACCACCCTCACCACCACCCTCACCACATCACCACCACCACCCTCACCGCATCACCACCACCACCCTCACCTCACCACCACCACAACCACCCTCACCACATCACCACCACCCACACTCACCAATCCTGGGCCCCATGTACCCTCCTCCCCGCCCTCCTCCACGGGGGCCTCCCGGGCCCCCTCCCCTCCCCCCGGCCCCTCCTCCGCGGCTCCCCCGGCCCCCCGCGCCCAATGGGCCCCCCCCGCCGCCGCCGCCGCCGGCCGCACCCACGCCGGACGAGGCCGAAGCCCCGGCGAGCCCGGCCTGGCAGGACGAAGCCCCGGAGGCCGCTCCACCTCCACCCGTGGACGAGGTGGAGCCACAGTCCTTGTCGGCTCCGCCCAGGTGGGCGGCGCCGGACGAGGAGGTGGACGAGGAGGAGGCGGCGGCGGTGGCGGCGGTGGTGGAGGTGGTGGTGGTGCTGCGGGCCTTCTTGCTCACCGTCTTCCACACGCTCTGGGACACGGTGAGACACGGTGAGACAGGGGGAGACACGGGGGAGACACGGGGGAGACACGGTGAGACAGGGTGAGACACAGGGTGAGACAGGGTGAGACACAGGGTGAGACACAGGGTGAGACACAGGGTGAGACACAGGGGGAGACACAGTGAGACAGGGTGAGACACAGGGTGAGACACAGGGTGAGACACAGGGTGAGACACACGGTGAGACACGAGGTGGTGGAGGTGGTGGTGCTGCGGGCCTTCTTGCTCACCGTCTTCCACACGCTCTGGGACAAGGTGAGACACAGGGGGAGACACAGGGTGAGTCACGGTGAGACGTGGTGAGACACGGGGGAGACACGGTGAGACAGGGTGAGACACAGGGTGAGACACAGGGTGAGTCAGGGTGAGTCAGGGTGAGACACGAGGTGGAGGTGGTGCTGCGGGCCTTCTTGCTCACCGTCTTCCACACGCTCTGAGACACGGTGAGACGCGGTGAGACACAGGGGAGACAGGGTGAGACACAGGGTGAGTCACAGGGTGAGACACGCTGAGACAGGGTGAGACAGGGTGAGACACGAGGTGGAGGTGGCGCTGCGGGCCTTCTTGCTCACCGTCTTCCACACGCTCTGGGACGCGGTGAGACACAGGGGGAGACAGGGGGGAGACACGGAGAGACACGGAGAGACAGGGTGAGACACACGGTGAGACACAGGGTGAGACAGGGTGAGACACAGGGTGAGACACAGGGTGAGTCACAGTGAGACACAGGGTGAGACACAGGGTGAGACACAGGGTGAGACACAGGGTGAGACACAGGGTTAGACACAGGGTGAGACACAGGGGGAGACAGGGTGAGACACAGGGTGAGACACAGGGTGAGACACAGGGTGAGACACAGGTTGAGACACGGTGAGACACAGGGTGAGACACAGGGTGAGACACAGGGTGAGACACAGGGTGAGACACAGGGTGAGACACAGGGTGAGACACAGGGTGAGACACAGGTTGAGACACGGTGAGACACAGGGTGAGACACAGGGTGAGACACAGGTTGAGACACAGGGTGAGTCACGGTGAGACACAGGGTGAGACAGGGTGAGACACAGGGTTAGACACAGGGTGAGACACAGGGGGAGACAGGGTGAGACACACGGTGAGACACACGGTGAGACACACGGTGAGACACACGGTGAGACACGAGGTGGAGGAGGAGGTGGTGGTGCTGCGGGCCTTCTTGCTCACCGTCTTCCACACGCTCTGGGACGCGGTGAGACAGAGGGGAGACACAGGGTGAGACAAGGTGAGACAGGAAGAGACACAGTGTGAGACACGGTGAGACAGGGTGAGACACGGAGAGACACGGTGAGACACAGGGTGAGACACAGGGTGAGACAGGGTGAGACACGGGGTGAGACACGGGGGAGTCACGGTGAGACACGAGGTGGAGGTGGTGGTGGTGCTGCGGGCCTTCTTGCTCACCGTCTTCCACACGCTCTGGGACGCGGTGAGACACAGGGGGAGACACAGGGTGAGACACAGGGTGAGACACAGGGTGAGACACAGGGGGGAGACACAGGGTGAGTCACAGGGTGAGACACGGTGAGACACGGTGAGACACAGGGTGAGACACAGGGTGAGACACGGAGACACACGGTGAGACACAGGGTGAGACACGGGGGAGACACGGGGGAGACACGGGGTGAGACACAGGGTGAGACACAGGGTGAGACACAGGGTGAGACACGGTGAGACACACGGTGAGACACACGGTGAGACACGGTGAGACACGGGGTGAGACACAGGGTGAGACACGGGGGAGTCACGGTGAGACACAGGGTGAGACACACGGTGAGACACAGGGTGAGACACAGGGTGAGACACAGGGGGGAGACACAGGGTGAGTCACAGGGTGAGACACGGTGAGACACGGTGAGACACAGGGTGAGACACAGGGTGAGACACGGAGACACACGGTGAGACACAGGGTGAGACACGGGGGAGACACGGGGGAGACACGGGGTGAGACACAGGGTGAGACACGAGGTGGAGGAGGAGGTGGTGGTGCTGCGGGCCTTCTTGCTCACCGTCTTCCACACGCTCTGAGACACGGTGAGACACGGTGAGACAGGGGGAGACAGGGGGGAGACAGGGTGAGACACAGGGTGAGACACGGTGAGACAGGGGAGAGACACAGGGTGAGACACAGGGTGAGACACGGTGAGACACGGGGGAGACAGGGTGAGACAGGGGAGAGACACAGGGTGAGACACAGGGTGAGACACGGTGAGACACACGGTGAGACACAGGGTGAGACACAGGGTGAGACACGGTGAGACACAGGGTGAGACACAGGGTGAGACACGGGGTGAGACACGGGGTGAGACACAGGGTGAGTCACGGTGAGACACAGGGTGAGACAGGGTGAGACACGGGGTGAGACACAGGGTGAGACACGGTGAGACACACGGTGAGACACAGGGTGAGACACAGGGTGAGTCACGGTGAGACACGGTGAGACACGGGGGAGACAGGGTGAGACACAGGGTGAGACACAGGGTGAGTCACGGTGAGACACGGTGAGACACACGGCGAGACATGGTGAGACACACGGTGAGTCACGGTGAGACACGGTGAGACACGGTGAGACACAGGGTGAGTCACAGGGTGAGACACAGGGTGAGACACGGGGGAGTCACGGTGAGACACAGGGTGAGACACGGGGGAGTCACGGTGAGACACACGGTGAGACACGGTGAGACACACGGTGAGACACAGGGTGAGACACAGGGTGAGACACAGGGTGAGACACGGTGAGACACACGGTGAGACACACGGTGAGACACGGTGAGACACACGGTGAGACACAGGGTGAGACACAGGGTGAGACACAGGGTGAGACACGGTGAGACACACGGTGAGACACGGTGAGACACGGGGTGAGACACAGGGTGAGACACGGGGGAGTCACGGTGAGACACAGGGTGAGACACAGGGTGAGACACACGGTGAGACACACGGTGAGACACGGTGAGACACGGGGTGAGACACAGGGTGAGACACGGGGGAGTCACGGTGAGACACACGGTGAGACACGGTGAGACACACGGTGAGACACACGGTGAGACACAGGGTGAGACACACGGTGAGACACGGTGAGACACGGTGAGACACACGGTGAGACACAGGGTGAGACACACGGTGAGACACAGGGTGAGACACACGGTGAGACACGGAGAGACACGGGGTGAGACACAGGGTGAGACACGGGGGAGTCACGGTGAGACACAGGGTGAGACACAGGGTGAGACACACGGTGAGACACACGGTGAGACACGGTGAGACACGGGGTGAGACACAGGGTGAGACACGGGGGAGTCACGGTGAGACACAGGGTGAGACACAGGGTGAGACACAGGGTGAGACACAGGGTGAGACACAGGGTGAGACACGGGGGAGTCACGGTGAGACACACGGTGAGACACAGGGTGAGACACACGGTGAGACACGGGGGAGTCACGGTGAGACACGGGGGAGTCACAGGGTGAGACACGAGGAGGAGGTGGTGGTGGCGCTGCGGGCCTTCTTGCTCACCGTCTTCCACACGCTCTGGGACGCGGTGAGACACACGGTGAGTCACGGTGAGACACGCTGAGACAGGGTGAGACAGGGGGGAGACACGGTGAGATACGGTGAGACACACGGTGAGACAGGGGGGAGACAGGGTGAGACAGGCTGAGACAGGCTGAGACACGGTGAGACAGGGTGAGACACAGGGTGAGACAGGGTGAGACACAGGGTGAGACAGGGTGAGACAGCGTGAGACACGGTGAGACAGGGTGAGATACAGTGAGACACACGGTGAGACACCATGGGGAGACAAGGGGGGGAGACTCGAGGGGAGACACGGGGGGGGGGGGGAGAAACGGGGGGGAGAAACGGGGGGTTGACACGGGGGGACGGGACATGGGGGGGTGTGGGAGTCACGGGGGGGGGGGGTAGGTGGGGGGGTAGCCCCCCTTCCCCTCACCGTGTCCTGTGCTCCCTCCAGGAGGATGTCGGTGGCTTTGCTGACGTCTCCATTGCAGTCGTGCAGAGCCACGGTGCAATCGTCTTCAGTTTTACTGGTCACCTCCATCAGCTGCCGGCCAATCAGAGCGCACGTTACTCACTCGCGCGGGGATTAACTTTCAGACACACCGACACAGGCAAAGCTCCCCCGTGTAGCCTGCAACAGACTGTAGGGGCAAGTGCTGTTAGCGAGCAGCACCTACGAAGGCCGGCACGGCACACGAGGGGGTGGGTGGCCAGCACCACGCCCGGCCGCCTTTGTCTCTCCCCCAGTGCTAGCGATGCTTACTACACCACCGCTACACCAGGTACTCATTTGTAGGCTGAGTCGACCTAGGGGAGGCCCAGGGCCGGTTCAGATAATCGTCACCGGTGTTGGCCGTGAGCGGGACTCGAACCCGGGTGGCCGGGTTCATAGCGCAGCGTAGCGCTAACCACCGCACACAAGCACACACAGTGACACACACACTGACACACACTGACACACACACTGACGCACACTAACAAAACCTAATACACACTGACGCACACACTGACGCACACACTGACGCACACACTGACGCACACACTGACGCACACACTGACGCACACACTGACGCACACACTGACGCACACACTGACACACACACTGACACACACACTGACACACACACTGACACACACACTGACACACACACTGACACACACACTGACGCACACACTGACGCACACACTGACGCACACACTGACGCACACACTGACGCACACACTGACGCACACACTGACGCACACACTGACGCACACACTGACACACACACTGACACACACACTGACACACACACTGACACACACACTGACACACACACACTGACACACACACTGACACACACACTGACACACTGACGCACACACTGACACACACACTGACACACTGACGCACACACTGACGCACACACTGACACACACACTGACACACACACACACTGACGCACACACTGACGCACACACTGACACACACACTGACACACACACTGACACACACACTGACACACACACTGACACACACACTGACACACACACTGACACACACACTGACACACTGACACACACACTGACACACACTGACGCACACACTGACGCACACACTGACGCACACACTGACACACACACTGACACACACACTGACGCACACACACTGACGCACACACACTGACGCACACACACTGACGCACACACACTGACACACACACACTGACGCACACACTGACGCACACACTGACGCACACACTGACGCACACACTGACGCACACACTGACGCACACACTGACACACACACTGACACACACACTGACACACACACTGACACACACACTGACACACACACTGACACACACACTGACGCACACACTGACACACACACTGACACACACACTGACGCACACTAACAAAACCTAATACACACTGACACACAACAACAACAATAACCGCCATTCGCCACCGAGTGGCGGTGATGTCACCACGACGCTTGTGCCAGGCTATGTGCACCTTGAGGCCACACACACACACACACACTGACACACACACACTGACACACACACTGACACACACACACACTGACGCACACTAACAAACCTAACACACACTGACACACAACAACAACAAACAACAACCGCCATTCGCCACCGAGTGGCGGTGACGTCACCACAACGCTTGTGCCAGGCTATGTGCACCTTGAGGCCACACACACACACACACCGGTACACACATTGACACGCACAAACACACGGACGTGCACTATCCTGGTGAAGGCCGAGGCTTACCTGTTTGACTTTCTCTGGGAAATCCGAATCGCTCTTTTCCAAAATCATCTGAATGCGAATTTGTTCTGCGGTAGCCTGCAGACAGACACGGGCAGACAGACAAGACAGATACACACGGAGATACACAAGATGATAGACAGTGTCTTCACACGGGTGTGTGTTTGTGCGTCTTTGTGTGCGTCTCCCCGTGTCTCCTTGTCTCCGTGTCTCCGTGTCGCCTTGTCTCTGTGTCCCAGTGTCTCCGTGTCTCCTTGTCCCAGTGTCTCCTTGTCCCAGTGTCTCCGTGTCTCCTTGTCCCAGTGTCTCCGTGTCTCCGTGTCTCCTTGTCTCCATGTCTCCTTGTCCCAGTGTCTCCATGTCCCCGTGTCTCAGTGTCTCCGTGTCTCCGTGTCCCCGTGTCTCAGTGTCTCCGTGTCCCCGTGTCTCCGTGTCTCCGTGTCCTCGTGTCTCAGTGTCTCCGTGTCCCAGTGTCTCCGTGTCTCAGTGTCTCAGTGTCTCCATGTCTCCATGTCTCCTTGTCCCAGTGTCTCCGTGTCCCCGTGTCTCAGTGTCTCAGTGTCTCCGTGTCTCCATGTCTCCATGTCTCCTTGTCCCAGTGTCTCCGTGTCCCCGTGTCTCAGTATCCCAGTGTCCCAGTGTCTCAGTGTCTCCGTGTCTCAGTGTCTCAGTGTCTCCGTGTCTCCGTGTCTCAGTGTCTCAGTGTCTCCGTGTCTCCGTGTCTCAGTGTCTCCGTGTCTCCGTGTCTCAGTGTCTCAGTGTCTCCGTGTCTCCGTGTCTCAGTGTCTCAGTGTCTCAGTGTCTCAGTGTCTCCGTGTCTCCGTGTCTCCGTGTCCCAGTGTCCCAGTGTCCCAGTGTCTCCGTGTCTCCGTGTCTCCGTGTCTCAGTGTCCCCGTGTCTCAGTGTCCCCGTGTCTCAGTGTCTCAGTGTCTCCGTGTCTCCTTGTACCCGTGTCCCACTGTCTCCGTGTCTCCATGTCTGTGTCTCCGTGTCTCCGTGTCACAGCATCTCAGTATCTCCCTGTCTCCGTGTCCCCATGTCCCAGTGTCCCCATGTCCCAGTGTCTCCGTGTCTCCATGTCTGTGCCCCCGTGGCTCCGTGTCACCTTGTCCCAGTGTCTCCGTGTCCCAGTGTCCCAGTGTCTCCGTGTCTCCGTGTCTGTCCCAGTGTCTCCGTGTCCCAGTGTCCCAGTGTCTCCGTGTCTCCGTGTCTGTCCCAGTGTCTCCGTGTCTCGATGTCCCACTGTCTCAGTGTCTCCGTGTCCCAGTGTCCCCATGACCCAGTGTCTCCATGTCCGTCCCCGTGTCCCCGTGTCTCAGTGTCTCCTTGTCTTCGTGTCTCCGTGTCTCCGTGTCCCAGTGTCCCCATGACCCAGTGTCTCCATGTCCGTCCCCGTGTCCCCGTGTCTCCTTGTCTCCGTGTCTCCGTATCCCAGTGTCTCAGTGTCTCCGTGTCCCCATGACCCAGTATCTCCATGTCCGTCCCCGTATCTCCATGTCCCAGTGTCTCCGTGTCTCCGTGTCTCCGTGTCTCCATGTCTCCATGTCTGTGTCCCCGTGGCTCCGTGTCGCCTTGTCCCAGTGTCTCCGTGTCCCCGTGTCCCCGTGTCCCTGTGTCTCCGTGTCTCCGTGTCTCCGTGTCTCCGTGTCTCCGTGTCACCGTGTCTCCTTGTCTTAGTGTCTCCGTGTCTCAGTGTCTCCATGTCTCCTTGTTTGTGTCCCTGTATCTCCCTGTCCCCGTGTCTCCGTGTCCCCATGACCCAGTATCTCCATGTCTCCGTGTCTCCTTGTTTGTGTCCCTGTATCTCCCTGTGTCTCCGTGTCTCCGTGTCCCCAGTGTCCCCATGTCCCAGTGTCTCCGTGTCCTCACGTCCCCATGTCCCCGGTGTGTCTCCGTACCTGTGGAGTGGCCTTGCTGCTGCTGCATAGTGTGTGTGCCGTGTCTCCCCGTGTCTCCCCGTGAGTCTCCCAGTGAGTCTCCCCGTGTCTCCCCGTGAGTCTCCCCGTGAGTCTCCCCGTGAGTCTCCCCGTGAGTCTCCCCGTGTCTCCCCGTGAGTCTCCCCGTGAGTCTCCCCGTGAGTCTCCCCGTGTCTCCCCGTGTCTCCCAGTGAGTCTCCCCGTGAGTCTCCCCGTGAGTCTCCCCGTGAGTCTCCCCGTGAGTCTCCCAGTGAGTCTCCCCGTGAGTCTCCCAGTGAGTCTCCCAGTGAGTCTCCCCGTGAGTCTCCCCGTGAGTCTCCCCGTGAGTCTCCCAGTGAGTCTCCCCGTGAGTCTCCCAGTGAGTCTCCCAGTGAGTCTCCCAGTGAGTCTCCCAGTGAGTCTCCCCGCGAGTCTCCCCGTGAGTCTCCCCGTGCGTCTCCCAGTGAGTCTCCCCGCGAGTCTCCCCGTGAGTCTCCCAGTGAGTCTCCCCGTGAGTCTCCCAGTGAGTCTCCCAGTGAGTCTCCCAGTGAGTCTCCCCGCGAGTCTCCCCGTGAGTCTCCCAGTGAGTCTCCCCGTGAGTCTCCCCGCGAGTCTCCCCGTGAGTCTCCCAGTGAGTCTCCCCGCGAGTCTCCCCGCGAGTCTCCCCGCGAGTCTCCCCGTGAGTCTCCCAGTGAGTCTCCCCGTGAGTCTCCCCGTGAGTCTCCCAGTGAGTCTCCCAGTGAGTCTCCCCGCGAGTCTCCCCGCGAGTCTCCCCGTGAGTCTCCCCGTGAGTCTCCCAGTGAGTCTCCCAGTGAGTCTCCCCGTGAGTCTCCCAGTGAGTCTCCCAGTGAGTCTCCCAGTGAGTCTCCCCGTGAGTCTCCCAGTGAGTCTCCCAGTGCGTCTCCCAGTGAGTCTCCCAGTGCGTCTCCCAGTGAGTCTCCCAGTGAGTCTCCCAGTGAGTCTCCCAGTGAGTCTCCCCGTGAGTCTCCCCGTGAGTCTCCTCGTGAGTCTCCCCGTGAGTCTCCCAGTGAGTCTCCCAGTGAGTCTCCCAGTGAGTCTCCCCGCGAGTCTCCCAGCGAGTCTCCCAGTGAGTCTCCCAGTGAGTCTCCCAGTGAGTCTCCCAGTGAGTCTCCCCGTGAGTCTCCCCGTGAGTCTCCCCGCGAGTCTCCCCGTGAGTCTCCCAGTGAGTCTCCCAGTGAGTCTCCCCGTGAGTCTCCCCGTGAGTCTCCCCGTGAGTCTCCCAGTGAGTCTCCCAGTGAGTCTCCCAGTGAGTCTCCCCGTGAGTCTCCCAGTGAGTCTCCCAGTGAGTCTCCCAGTGAGTCTCCCAGTGAGTCTCCCCGTGCGTCTCCCAGTGAGTCTCCCCGTGAGTCTCCCCGTGAGTCTCCCCGTGAGTCTCCCCGCGAGTCTCCCCGTGAGTCTCCCCGTGAGTCTCCCCGTGAGTCTCCCAGTGAGTCTCCCCGTGAGTCTCCCCGTGAGTCTCCCCGTGAGTCTCCCCGTGAGTCTCCCAGTGAGTCTCCCAGTGAGTCTCCCAGTGAGTCTCCCAGTGAGTCTCCCAGTGAGTCTCCCAGTGAGTCTCCCCATGAGTCTCCCAGCGAGTCTCCCCGTGAGTCTCCCCGTGAGTCTCCCAGTGCGTCTCCCAGTGAGTCTCCCAGTGAGTCTCCCAGTGAGTCTCCCCGTGAGTCTCCCCGTGAGTCTCCCCGCGAGTCTCCCAGTGAGTCTCCCAGTGAGTCTCCCCGCGAGTCTCCCAGTGAGTCTCCCAGTGAGTCTCCCCGTGCGTCTCCCCGCGTCTCTCCGTACCTGTGGAGTGGCCTTGCTGCTGCTGTTGAGTGTATGTGCCCTGTCCCCGTGTCCATTTCTGGGCCTTCCGAGACCCAGAGACGCCATGGTGACCAGATTATGTACAGGGGCGACTATTTACAGACCTACACACACACACGCGCAAAGACAAAGATCCCCCGTGTAGCCTTAACAGACTGTAGGGGCAAGTGCTGTTAGCGAGCAGCACCTATGAAGGCCGGCACGGCACACGAGGGGGTGGGTGGCCAGCACAACGCCCGGCCGCCTTTGTCTCCCCAGTGCTAGCAATGTTTACACATCGCACCAGGTACTCATTTGAGGCTGAGTCGACCTAGGGGAGACCACGCGGTGCAGACAACGCGGGGGCGGGCAACGATGCATCGTGATGCATAGAGACCCAAAAAGATACATAGAGACCCACAGCCACACATGACATTCACAGAGATACATAGACACACGGAGATACATATAGACCCAGAGACTCACAGAGATACATAGAGACCCACAGCCACACATGACATTCACAGAGATACATAGACACACGGAGATACATATAGACCCAGAGACTCACAGAGATACATAGAGACCCACAACCACACATGACATTCACAGAGATACATAGACACACGGAGATACATACAGAACCAGAGACTCACAGAGATACATAGAGACCCACAGCCACACATGACATTCACAGAGATACATAGACACACGGAGACACATATAGACCCAGAGACTCACAGAGATACATAGAGACCCACAGCCACACATGAAATTCACAGAGATACATAGACACACGGAGATACATACAGAACCAGAGACTCACAGAGATACATAGAGACCCACAGCCACACATGACATTCACAGAGATACATAGACACACAGAGATACATATAGACCCAGAGACTCACAGAGATACATAGAGACCCACAGCCACACATGACATTCACAGAGATACATAGACACACGGATATACATATAGACCCAGAGACTTACAGAGATACATAGAGACCCACAGCCATACATGACATTCACAGAGATACATAGACACACGGAGATACATATAGAACCAGAGACTCAGAGATACATAGAGACCCACAGCCACACATGACATTCACAGAGATACATAGACACACGGAGACACATATAGACCCAGAGACTCACAGAGATACATAGAGACCCACAGCCATACATGACATTCACAGAGATACATAGACACACGGAGATACATATAGACCCAGAGACTCACAGAGATACATAGAGACCCACAGCCACACATGACATTCACAGAGATACATAGACACACGGATATACATATAGACCCAGAGACTTACAGAGATACATAGAGACCCACAGCCATACATGACATTCACAGAGATACATAGACACACGGATATACATATAGAACCAGAGACTCACAGAGATACATAGAGACCCACAGCCACACATGACATTCACAGAGATACATAGACACACGGAGACACATATAGACCCAGAGACTCACAGAGATACATAGAGACCCACAGCCACACATGACATTCACAGAGATACATAGACACACGGAGATACATATAGAACCAGAGACTCACAGAGATACATAGAGACCCACAGCCACACATGACATTCACAGAGATACATAGACACACGGAGACACATATAGACCCAGAGACTCACAGAGATACATAGAGACCCACAGCCACACATGACATTCACAGAGATACATAGACACACGGAGATACATACAGACCCAGAGACTCAAGTAATGAGTGGTAATGTAACACCATCTAGCCCTGTGTAACTACACACACACACACTGCATGTAATCACCGCTACACTTGACACTATTAGTAACTAATAGTCAACGTGTTATATTATTAGAATCGTCCTGGCTAGTTATTAGCGGTAATGTGACACCGCCGATTGTACTAAAGATAGCCGTGTGTTACTACAGGCGGTGCCGCGTGTACTCAATCGTTGGTACATCTCACGTTAATTAGTAATAACTCTCCGATAGTTAACGTGTTATATATTATCACTGTCGTCACTAGGCTTTAATGCAGGCAGTCTATTGTACTAAAGATAGCGCTGTAGCAGCAGCCGCGTGTGTGACTACACACAGACACCACCGTATCTAACCACGGCTTCTCTTCACACAATTCTCAAGTCTTCTTATATTGTAGTCGTGACTAGCCCGTAGGCTTCAATGCGCGCACACACAGTGGATTGTAGTGAAGCTCTACCGCGTGTGACTACAGACAACACACACACAAGGCACCACCTAACACACACACACAAGGCACCACCTAACACACACACACAAGGCAACACCTAACACACACACACACAAGGCAACACCTAACACACACACACACAAGGCACCACCTAACACACGCACGGCACCACCTAACACACACACACACGGCACTACCTAACACACACAAGGCACCACGTAACACACACACAAGGTACTACCTAACACACACACAAGGCACCGCCTAACACACACACAAGGCACCTAACACACACACGCACGGCACCACCTAACACACACACAAGGCACCACCTAACACACACACAAGGAACCACCTAACACACACACAAGGCACCACCTAACACACACACAAGACACCACCTAACACACACACAAGGCACTACCTAACACACACACAAGGCACTGCCTAACACACACACAAGGCACTACCTAACACACACACAAGGCACCACTTAACACACACACAAGACACCATCTAACACACACACAAGGCACCACCTGACACACACACAAGGCACCTCACACACACACAAGGCACCTGACACACACACACACACAAGGCACCACCTAACACACACACGGCACTAACACACACACAAGGCACCACCTAACAGACACACAAGGCACCACCTAACACACACAAGGCACCTAACACACACACGACACTACCTAACACACACAAGGCACCTGACACACACACAAGGCACCTAACACACACACACGACACTACCTAACACACAAGGTACCTAACACACACACAAGGCACCTAACACACACGACACTACCTAACACACAAGGCACCTGACACACACAAGGCACCACCTAACACACACACAAGGCACCTAACACACACAAGGCACCTGACACACACAAGGCACCACCTAACATACACACACACAAGGCACCACCAGACACACACACAAGGCACCACCAGACACACACACAAGGCACCACCTAACACACACACAAGGCACCACCTAACACACACACAAGGCACCACCTAACACACACACACAAGGCACCTAACACACACAAGGCACTACCAGACACACACACAAGGTACCTAACAAACACACGACACTACCTAATACACACAAGGCACCTGACACACACACAAGGCACCTAACACACACACAAGGCACCACCTAACACACACACAAGGCACCTAACACACACGACACTACCTAACACACACAAGGCACCTGACACACACAAGGCACCACCTAACACACACAAGGCACCACCTAACACACACAAGGCACCACCTAACACACACACACACGGCACCTAACACACACAAGGCACCACCTAACACACACACACAAGGCACCTAACACACACAAGGCACCACCACACACACACACAAGGCACCACCTCACACACACACACACAAGGCACCACCTCACACACACACACACAAGGCACCACCTAACACACACACAAGGCACCACCTAACACACACAAGGCACCACCTAACACACACACACAAGGCACCACCTCACACACAAGGCACCACCTAACACACACAAGGCACCACCTAACACACACACAAGGCACCTGACACACACACAAGGCACCACCTAACACACACGACACTACCTAACACACACACAAGGCACCTGACACACACAAGGCACCACCTAACACACACACACGAGGCACCACCTCACACACAAGGCACCACCTAACACACACACACAAGGCACCTGACACACACACGGCACCACCTAACACACACACACACAAGGCACCTGACACACACAAGACACCACCTCACACACACACAAGGCACCACCTAACACACACACACACAAGGCACCTGACACACACAAGGCACCACCTCACACACAAGACACCACCTAACACACACAAGGCACCACCTAACACACACACACAAGGCACCACCTGACACACACAAGGCACCACCACACACACACACAAGACACCACCTAACACACACACAAGGCACAAGGCAGTTTGTAAAGCAACTCCATTGTCAATCTGCACTCCCGCCTCCTCCACCAAAACCGTAGCGACTCCTCCCATCTCCCACCCCCCACCACCAACCCGGTGTCCGCCACCACCACCTTCTTCCTCATCTACTTATTAACAACACTCAACTAAACAAAATCTCCTCAGCGTTGACGGCTCGCTCCTGGGTGTCTAGCGAGGCCCTCGCCTCTGGCCTACAGTAGGCGGCGTCTAGGCAAGCGGGGTTGGAGGGGGGAGAGGTGGTAGCGTGGTGATCCCCTCAGCAAAAAAAAAACCGACTGCGCAAAATGATCCCTTTACCGATTTTAACAGCGATTGTTTGGGGCTGATGTTTTGTTTGTTTGCGGGCAAAGATGAAAGGGAGAGGAGAGAGAGAGAGTCCAAGCGAGCACGAATCAACTCACTGCTTCGCGGAGTAGGGGCGCTTTGCACAAAATGGCGGCGCCGTCACTGACGAACGGGGGGGAGGGGGGGCGGCAGTGGGGGAAGGGGGGTTGGGGGCTGAGGGGGGAGGGGCGGGGTTAGGAAGGCGGGGTGGGGTTTGGGGGGGGAGTAAGGAACCGACGCCGATTGGCTAGCGGTCGAGTGAGTAATTTGATTGACCAATCGCGTGAGCGTGATTGACGGCGGCAAGCGAGAGAGGGGGGGGGGCGTGGTGGATGAGGGGGGTGGGGCTAATTGGGGAAGGGGTGTAGGGCAACGACGACGATTGGCTAGCGGTCGAGTTAGTGGCTCGATTGACCAATCGCGTGAGTGGAACTGACGGTGGAGGGGATTGGGGGGGATGGTGCTTAGGGGGGGAGAGGTGGGGCTAGGCAGGCGGGGTGGGTGGGGAGAACGACGCTGATTGGCTAGCGGTTAAGTGAGTGATTCGATTGACCAATCGTATGAACGGAACTAATGGCGGGAAGAGAGGGGGGGGGGTGGTTGTGGATGGGAGGGGGAATGTGGGAACAACACCTATTGGCTAGCAGTCAAGTGAGTGACTCGATTGACCAATCGCGTGAGTGGGACTGACAGCGGAGAGAGGGGGTGGGCGGAGGGGTGGTGGGGGGAGACAGTTGGGAGAGGGGGGACTCCGCCGATTGGCTAACGGTCACTCGACTCGCCAATCACGTGAGCGAGACTGACGGCGGGAAGAGAAGGGAAGTGGTGGAGGTGGATGAGGGGTGGGGCTAGGGGAAGGAGAGGAAGGGTGGGGCTAGGTTGGGAGGAACAACGCCGATTGGCTAGCAGTCAAGTGAGTGACTCGATTGATTGACCAATCGCGTGAGCGGCACTGTCAGTGGAGAGAAGGGGGTGGGGGCCAGGACGGGAGGGTGGGGGGACGACGCCGATTGGCTAACGGCAACTCGACTGGCCAATCGCGTGAGCAAAATTTGACAGCGGGAAGAGAGGGGGGGGGGGTTGCTAGTGGGGGAGGAGGAGGGGGGATGAAGCCGATTGGCTAGCGATCAAGTGAGTGATTCGACTAACCAATCGCGTGAGCGACACTGCCGGCGGGAAGAGAGGGAGGCGTTGGAAGTTATCGATGGGAGGCGAGTGAGGAGGGGGGGGGGGAACGCCGCTGATTGGCTAGCGGCCACAGGAAAGACGGGGTGGGATGGGCAGGGGGCTAGGGGTGGCGAATTAAAGAACGACGTTGATTGGCTAGCGGCCACGTGAGTGATCGATTGACCAATCGCGTGAGTGGCACTGACGGCAGGAAGTGAGGTGTGGGTGGGGGCTAAGGGCGGTGGGTTGGTGGGGGCTCACAGGTAAAACGGTAAGGCGCCGATTGGTCCAACGGGCGTCACGTGCCGCGCGTGGACCAATCGTAGAGCAGGTATTGAGGGGGGCGGTTAAGGGGTAAGGGAAATGCACTGATTGGTCCGTTGCCCCCCCCACCCCTTCCTCACCACACCCCTCCCACCCCTCCCATCCTGCCCCCACTCCTCCCCCATTCCTTCCTCCCCCACCCCTCCACCACCACTCGCCCACCCCTCCCCATTCCTCCCCCCACCCCTCCCCACTTCTCCCCCCACCCGTCCCCCACCCCTCCCACCACCCCTCCCACCCTCCCCCCACCACTCCCCCCCTTCCTCCCCCCACCCCTCCCCCCACCCCCAACACTCTCCCCACCCCTCCACCCACCCCTCCCCCCACCCGTACCCCACCCCTCCCCCCACCCCTCCCCCCACCCCTCCCACCCTCCCCCCACCACTCTCCCCCTCCTTCCTCCCCCCACCCCTCCACCACCCCTCCCCCACTGTCCCCCACCCCTCCCACCCTCCCCCCACCACTCCCCCCCTTCCTCCCCCACCCCTCCCCCCACCCCTCCCCCCACCCCAACACTCTCCCCACCCCTCCACCCACCCCTCCCCCCACCCGTCCCCCACCCCTCCCCCCACCCCTCCCCCCACCCCTCCCGCCCCTCCCCACCAGCCGAGGAGGGGGGCAGTTAAGGGGTAAGGGAAATGCACCGATTGGTCCGTCGCCCCCTCCCACCCCTTCCTCCCCCCACCCCTCCTCCACCCCTCCCCCATTCCTTCCTCCCCCCACCCCTTCCACCCTCCACCACCCCCACCACTCCCCCCACCCTTCCTCCCCCACCCCTCCCCCCACCCCTCCCTACCCCTCCCCCCACCCCTCCCCCCACCCCTCCCCCACCCCTCCCTTCCCCCACCCCCTCCCCCACCCCTCCCCCACCCCTCCCCCACCCCTCCCCCACCCCTCCCCCCACCCCTCCCCCACCCCTCCCCCACCCCTCCCCCCACCCCTCCCCCATCTATTCCTCCCCCACCCCTCCCCCACCCCTCCCCCCACCCCTCCCCCACCCCTCCCCCCACCCCTCCCCCATCTATTCCTCCCCCACCCCTCCCCCACCCCTCCCCCACCCCTCCCCCCACCCCTCCCCCACCCCTCCCCCACCCCTCCCCCCACCCCTCCCCCATCTATTCCTCCCCCACCCCTCCCCCACCCCTCCCCCCACCCCTCCCCCACCCCTCCCCCCCACCCCTCCCCCATCTATTCCTCCCCCACCCCTCCCCCACCCCTCCCCCACCCCTCCCCCCACCCCTCCCCCACCCCTCCCCCACCCCTCCCCCCACCCCTCCCCCATCTATTCCTCCCCCACCCCTCCCCCACCCCTCCCCCCACCCCTCCCCCACCCCTCCCCCCACCCCTCCCCCATCTATTCCCACCCCTCCCCCACCCCTCCCCCCACCCCTCCCCCCACTCCTCCCTTCCCCCACCCCCACCACTCCCCCCACCCTTCCTCCCCCACCCCTCCCCCACCCTCCCCCACCCCTCCCCCCACCCCTCCCCCCACCCCGCCCCGCCCCCCCCAGACAGTGCTCGTGACGAGTTCGAGCGGTCAAGATGGCTGCGGCAGTAGGCGCTGCCGCCGCTGCTGCTGCGAGCGAGCAGGAGAGTTCCCTTCTGTTGTCGCAGCGAGCTCGGGCGAGGTCCTACGGCTCCATCGTCGTCTCCACCACCACCTCGTCCACCACCACCTCGTCCACCACCACCACCACCTCGTCCACGGCGTCGTCCGCCACGGCTCACGCAGAGGCGGCGGCGGTGTTCGTGAGCCACATCGTGCAGCCTGACGATAGCCTGCAGAGACTCGCGCTCAAGTACGGGGTCACGGTGAGGGCGGTGAGGGTGGTGAGGGTGGTGAGTGGTGAGGGTGAGGGGTCACGGTGAGGGTGGTGGTGGTGAGTGGTGGTGAGTGGTGGTGAGTGTGAGGGGGTGGTGAGTGGTGGTGAGTGTTCGTGAGCCACATCGTGCAGCCTGACGACAGCCTGCAGAGACTCGCGCTCAAGTACGGGGTCACGGTGAGGGCGGTGAGGGTGGTGAGGGTGGTGAGTGGTGAGGGTGAGGGGTCACGGTGAGGGTGGTGGTGGTGAGTGGTGGTGAGTGGTGGTGAGTGTGAGGGGGTGGTGAGTGGTGGTGAGTGTTCGTGAGCCACATCGTGCAGCCTGATGACAGCCTGCAGAGACTCGCGCTCAAGTACGGGGTCACGGTGAGGGCGGTGAGGGTGGTGGTGGTGAGTGGTGGTGAGGGTGAGGGGTGGTGAGGGTGGTGAGTGTGAGGTGGTGAGGGTGAGGTGGTGAGTGTGAGTGGTGAGGCTGCAGCCTGATGACAGCCTGCAGAGACTCGCGCTCAAGTACGGGGTCACGGTGAGGGCGGTGAGGGTGGTGAGGGTGAGGTGGTGAGTGGTGAGGGTGAGGGTGGTGAGGGTGAGGTGGTGAGGGTGAGGTGGTGAGGGTGAGGTGGTGAGTGGTGGTGAGTGTTCGTGAGCCACATCGTGCAGCCTGACGATAGCCTGCAGAGACTCGCGCTCAAGTACGGGGTCACGGTGAGGGCGGTGAGGGTGGTGGTGGTGAGTGGTGAGGGTGGTGAGGGTGAGGTGGTGAGTGGTGGTGAGTGGTGGTGAGTGTTCGTGAGCCACATCGTGCAGCCTGACGATAGCCTGCAGAGACTCGCGCTCAAGTACGGGGTCACGGTGAGGGCGGTGAGGGTGGTGGTGAGTGGTGGTGAGGGTGAGGGGTGGTGAGGGTGGTGAGTGTGAGGTGGTGAGGGTGAGGTGGTGAGTGTGAGTGGTGAGGGTGGTGAGGGTGGTGAGGGTGAGGGGTCACGGTGAGGGTGGTGAGGGGGAGGGGTCACGGTGAGGGTGAGGTGGTGAGTGGTGGTGAGTGTTCGTGAGCCACATCGTGCAGCCTGACGACAGCCTGCAGAGACTCGCGCTCAAGTACGGGGTCACGGTGAGGGCGGTGAGGGTGGTGAGGGTGGTGAGTGGTGGTGAGTGGTGGTGAGGGTGAGGTGGTGAGTGGTGGTGAGTGGTGGTGAGGGTGAGGTGGTGAGTGGTGGTGAGTGTGAGTGGTGAGTGTTCGTGAGCCACATCGTGCAGCCTGATGACAGCCTGCAGAGACTCGCGCTCAAGTACGGGGTCACGGTGAGGGCGGTGAGGGTGGTGGGGGTGAGTGGTGAGGGTGAGGGGTCACGGTGAGGGTGGGGGGTGGTGAGTGGTGGTGAGGGTGAGGTGGTGAGTGGTGGTGAGTGGTGGTGAGTGTTCGTGAGCCACATCGTGCAGCCTGACGATAGCCTGCAGAGACTCGCGCTCAAGTACGGGGTCACGGTGAGGGCGGTGAGGGTGGTGGTGAGTGGTGGTGAGGGTGCGGGGTGGTGAGGGTGGTGAGTGTGAGGTGGTGAGGGTGAGGTGGTGAGTGTGAGTGGGGAGGGTGGTGAGGGTGGGGAGGGTGAGGGGTCACGGTGAGGGTGGTGAGGGTGAGGGGTCACGGTGAGGGTGAGGTGGTGAGTGGTGGTGAGTGTTCGTGAGCCACATCGTGCAGCCTGACGACAGCCTGCAGAGACTCGCGCTCAAGTACGGGGTCACGGTGAGGGCGGTGAGGGTGGTGAGGGTGGTGAGTGGTGGTGAGTGGTGGTGAGGGTGAGGTGGTGAGTGGTGGTGAGTGGTGGTGAGGGTGAGGTGGTGAGGGGTGGTGAGTGTGAGTGGTGAGTGTTCGTGAGCCACATCGTGCAGCCTGATGACAGCCTGCAGAGACTCGCGCTCAAGTACGGGGTCACGGTGAGGGCGGTGAGGGTGGTGGTGGTGAGTGGTGAGGGTGAGGGGTCACGGTGAGGGTGGGGGGTGGTGAGTGGTGGTGAGGGTGAGGTGGTGAGTGGTGGTGAGTGGTGGTGAGTGTTCGTGAGCCACATCGTGCAGCCTGACGATAGCCTGCAGAGACTCGCGCTCAAGTACGGGGTCACGGTGAGGGCGGTGAGGGTGGTGGTGAGTGGTGGTGAGGGTGAGGGGTGGTGAGGGTGGTGAGTGTGAGGTGGTGAGGGTGAGGTGGTGAGTGTGAGTGGTGAGGGTGGTGAGGGTGGTGAGGGTGAGGGGTCACGGTGAGGGTGGTGAGGGTGAGGGGTCACGGTGAGGGTGAGGTGGTGAGTGGTGGTGAGTGTTCGTGAGCCACATCGTGCAGCCTGACGACAGCCTGCAGAGACTCGCGCTCAAGTACGGGGTCACGGTGAGGGCGGTGAGGGTGGTGAGGGTGGTGAGTGGTGGTGAGTGGTGGTGAGGGTGAGGTGGGGAGTGGTGGTGAGTGGTGGTGAGGGTGAGGTGGTGAGTGGTGGTGAGTGTGAGTGGTGAGTGTTCGTGAGCCACATCGTGCAGCCTGACGATAGCCTGCAGAGACTCGCGCTCAAGTACGGGGTCACGGTGAGGGCGGTGAGGGTGGTGAGGGTGAGGTGGTGAGTGGTGAGGGTGAGGTGGTGAGGGTGAGGTGGTGAGGGTGAGGTGGTGAGTGGTGGTGAGTGTTCGTGAGCCACATCGTGCAGCCTGACGATAGCCTGCAGAGACTCGCGCTCAAGTACGGGGTCACGGTGAGGGCGGTGAGGGTGGTGGTGAGTGGTGGTGAGGGTGAGGTGGTGAGTGGTGGTGAGTGGTGGTGAGTGTTCGTGAGCCACATCGTGCAGCCTGACGATAGCCTGCAGAGACTCGCGCTCAAGTACGGGGTCACGGTGAGGGCGGTGAGGGTGGTGGTGGTGAGTGGTGAGGGTGAGGGGTCACGGTGAGGGTGGTGGTGGTGAGTGGTGAGTGGTGGTGAGTGTGAGGGGGTGGTGAGTGGTGGTGAGTGTTCGTGAGCCACATCGTGCAGCCTGATGACAGCCTGCAGAGACTCGCGCTCAAGTACGGGGTCACGGTGAGGGCGGTGAGGGTGGTGGTGAGTGGTGAGTGGTGGTGAGGGTGAGGTGGTGAGTGGTGGTGAGGGTGAGGGGTGGTGAGGGTGAGGGGTCACGGTGAGGGTGGTGAGGGTGGTGGTGAGGGTGAGGTGGTGAGTGTGAGGTGGTGGTGAGGGTGAGGTGGTGAGTGGTGGTGAGTGGTGGTGAGGGTGAGGTGGTGAGTGGTGGTGAGTGTTCGTGAGCCACATCGTGCAGCCTGATGACAGCCTGCAGAGACTCGCGCTCAAGTACGGGGTCACGGTGAGGGTGGGGGGTGGTGAGGGTGAGGGGTCACGGTGAGGGTGGGGGGTGAGGGGTGGTGAGGGGGGTGGTGAGTGGTGGTGAGGGTGAGGGGGGTGGTGAGTGGTGGTGAGGGGGGTGAGGGTTGTGAGGGGGTGAGGGTGGTGAGTGTGAGTGGTGGTGAGTGTGAGTGGTGGTGAGTGTGAGTGGTGGTGAGTGTGAGTGGTGGTGAGTGTGAGTGGTGGTGAGTGTGAGTGGTGGTGAGGGTGAGGGGGTGGTTTGTGTGAGTGGTGGTGAGGGTGATGGTGAGTGTGAGGGGGTGGTGAGTGTGAGGGGGTGGTGAGTGGTGGTGAGGGTGAGTGGTGGTGAGTGTGAGTGGTGGTGAGTGTGAGTGGTGGTGAGTGTGAGTGGTGGTGAGGGTGAGTGGTGGTGAGGGTGGTGAGTGTGAGTGGTGGTGAGGGTGGTGAGTGTGAGTGGTGGTGAGTGTGAGTGGTGGTGAGGGTGAGTGGTGGTGAGGGTGGTGAGTGTGAGTGGTGGTGAGGGTGGTGAGTGTGAGTGGTGGTGAGGGTGAGTGGTGGTGAGTGTGAGTGGTGGTGAGGGTGAGTGGTGGTGAGTGTGGTGAGTGTGAGTGGTGGTGAGGGTGGTGAGTGTGAGTGGTGGTGAGGGTGAGTGGTGAGTGTGAGTGGTGGTGAGTGTGAGTGGTGGTGAGGGGGTGGTGAGGGTGGTGAGTGTGAGTGGTGGTGAGGGTGAGTGGTGGTGAGGGGGTGGTGAGGGTGGTGAGGGGTGGTGAGTGGTGGTGAGGCTGCAGCCTGACAACAGCCTACAGAGACTCGCGCTCCAGTATAGGGTCACGGTGAGGGGGGTGAGTGGTGGTGAGGGTGAGGGGGGCTGAGTGGTGGTGAGGGTGGTGAGGGTGGTGAGTGTGTGAACCTTCTAGTGGTGATAGTGATGATGATGATGCTACTGTTACTGATGATGATGCTACTGCTGATG